GTAACACTTCCATTTTCTGTGTGTGCCTGTGTGTGCAAGGAATGGAATCCAGGGCCTTGTCTGCGGAAAACAGATGGGGGGGATGGGGTGGGAGGGGATGGGGTGGGGGGGGTCCCCTCTCTGGGGCCTGGGCTGGCTGACCACATGGGGCCGCACGCCATGCAGCGCCCTTGCGCTGCGGGCAAGCGCTCCTTCTCACGTCTACCTTCGGTGGGGGCCAGGGCAACCGTGCTACCAGACTGACAGCTGTCAGCCCCGCCCCTGGCGCCCCATTGGAGGCTGGGACGGTCCAACTCCCTGACAGTTGTTAGTCCCGCCCCCCGTTCCCCACTGGAGGGTGGGTGTGCCAGCCTGCCTAACAGCTGTCAGGCCCGGCCCTGGCGCCTGGGCTGCTTCGCGCGAAGGCCCGTCAGGCTCGGACCAGTGGCGCAGCCCGCCTCGTGCCAGCCCTGCTGCCGTGAGGAGCAGGACGCATAGCCACCACAGCCGCTTGCTGCTGAGAGCGCCACGTAGAGCACTGCCCTGTGATTGGTGGGGAAACCCTCGGCCACGCCCCTTCCTGGCCCTCTGCGGGGGTGGGATGGGGGAGGGGGCAGTGGCCGCTCCTGAGGCTGAGCTCTAAGGGCTGGGTTCGAAGCCAGCCCGGGCAGGAAAGCCTGTGAGACTCTTTAGCTCCAAGACAGCACTGCGACGTGAGAAGGGGCGCTGCGGCTCAAGTGCGAGAGCGCCCGCCTTCCACTACAGATCTGGGGGACAGCGCCCAGGCCCTGGGTTCGAGTCCCAGGCGTGGATGAAATGTTGGGCCGCGCACCCGGCGTGCGGGGCTGGAGGATCCCCGAGCTAAAGCGCACAGTGTGGATCCTGAGACGCGGGGGGGGGGTCAGGTCACACCCCAGACGCGAAGGCTCATGGGAGCGGGAAGACTCATGGGAGCGCTGGCCTTTCTCGGTCCAGATAGTGAAGAACAAGAGGTTCTTTGTGGGGGGGAATCAAAAGTCCGGACCCTAGCTCGGGCGAGTTGGGCCTGTCAGCTCCTGCGGGGGGGGGCGGAGCTTGCTCTGTCCGGGACTTCTTGCGTGAGTTGGGCCTGTCACTCCTGCGGGGGGCAGAGCTTGCCCTGTCCGGGGGCTCCTCTGGGCCTGTCACTCCTGCGGGGGGCAGAGCTTGCTCTGTCCGGGGCTCCTCCGCTCCCGGGCCGGCTGGGAACGCGGATCCTCGCGTCTGGGTTTCCCGTTACGAGGGTGACGGGTGCGAGGCGCTGCCACCAGCGCCGCCTTCACCCACGCGAGCCGCGCTCCTGCCGTGGGAGGCGCCGCCACACTAGGTCACACACTGCTTCCAGTAATGGGTCCCCCGGGCCGAAGGGGGCCTGGGCCGGGTGGATGATGCGGGGCTCCATTCGTTTCCCTGCGCCCTCCGGGGCCCCGCCCCCGGCCCCGCCCCCGCCGCCCTTCAGCCACGCCCACCAGCCCAGCGGGCCGAGCCGGAGTCATCGATGCTCCTCCCGCCCTCCCCGGCTTCGCGCCCGCGCTGCCGTTATTCCGTTATTTTTGAGGCGCGGGAGGGCTCGCTTGGCGTCCCAGGACTCCGGGACCAGGGCAGAAGAATCTTCCAGCATCTCTTCTTCAGGGCGTCTCTCTAGAAGGAGGTTTTCCCCAGGTCGGCGTCGGAGGACCGCCACCCCCCCCCCTCCCATTCGGG